TCGTTATTTGGTTAGTGATTCATTTCGTAACTAAACATGAGTATAATTGTACGTTTCAAACAAACACAAGATAAACAATAATATAATGGTTAACAAACGATGTGATGAAGGACACCACTGCATCAAATAATGCAACACTTAAATTAATAATAAGTTTTTATTTATTTCAACAATTAAAAAAGTCATTAATAACATAAAACAAACATTTAAACAATCAAGGTTATTAATCAAAAGAGTCTAAAATAAAATAAACAGTTCAAAAAAAACTTTCAATTGTATAGTTTTAACCGATTTATCTTCTCTCAATGCTTGTTTTACTCATTAGTACTTTTCATTTTTATCCAAAACACAACTTGGTGATTCTGTAAAAAATGACATCGAATTATAAAGTTGTGTTTACGTTTTTCGGCAAAAAATGTGTTATGGTAATCAAAATTTTAATCTCAAGTTTGTTTTTTATATTTTTCAAGTAAATTTTTGATGCAAGATTTATTTGTCAAGTAAAAATAAAAAAAATTCAGGTTTGTTATTTTGTTTTTTTTGAATAAATATTTGAACCAAAAATGATAGTTAAGATATGAAAAAATAATTTAGGAATAATAAGTCCAATAATTTGGGGTGTCCAATGTCCAGAGTTTTAAAAAACAATTTATCAACTTCTCAAATTTGTCATAAAAATTGAATATTTTTATCATAATATTTAACTTAAAACAAATTACTCAATTTGATACCAACTCGAAAACGACTAAGAAAATAACACAAAGTGTTTTTGTTGTAACTTTAAGTTTTTTTATAATCAGCGGAGTCTTTTTCTTCAACAAAGACTCGATCAGTAAATACTGTTTTGATTTTTTAAAAAATAATCAGAAAAATGTTATTCGAAAAATTATTTTTATTTATCAAGTTCGGCAAAATTATTTGTTTTGTTTTATTTTATTAAAAATTGGAAAAAACATACAAAAAATAAACGTATTAATATTATAATTACACGATAATTAAGTTTATGACGATTAAAAATAAAAAACCTTTAAATTTGATTATTTTGTGTTAGATAAATCGTTGTAATTCAATTTTTTTTGCTTTCTACGTGATAAGACAAACAATGTAAATAGTACGCCAATAATGATCACAGCAACTATGAACAAGACCCCAAGCACAGCAACGCCCGTTGAAAGTAAAACAATTTGAGTTCTCTTTTTATCATCTTCATTAGCAATTTCGATCTCCATTGATTGTTTCACAAACCCTATTTTCAACCCAATACAGGCATTTCCTTTATACAAATCGACTTTTTGTTTGTTGACAGTGAAGTTCTCAAAATAGCAATCGGCGAAGTCAAAGTCGATGTTTTTAGCTGAATGTACATCATCTAAATAAAAAATGCAGTTCACAAAGTTGCACGACTCAAACACAACATTTTTATAATAATAAGAATGATAAAATGAGGTATTAACAAATGTCGAGTTGATATAGCGGACATTGTCATCATCTCGGTAATAAAATTTGGTGTTTTCAACAAACAGTCCCGATAAGACATTATTTGCTAATGTGAATTCACTGAAATGACTATTTTTAATTGTCAAATTGGAGAAAACGGATTCGTAAATATCTGTTGAACAAAAGTGGCAATTCTCAATGGAAGAGATATCGCGATATCCACTCGTCTTCACGGAACTAATTTTTAATGTTTCAAAAGAAGAATTATACAACACAATAGTTTTAAATGTAGATGTGTAAATAGTATTGTAAAAGTTATATGTTAAGAAATTTTTAAGCAACTCAAAAACAACATCAGAAAAGTCACTGTGATAAAAGCCTGTTTTGTTACTTGTGAACTGATTGAGTGTCAAATGAGTTGTTTGTAACTGAGTAAACGTCGAGTTGTAAAAAGTCGCTGATGTTGTATTATCAGGTAAAATGTAATCAAGGATCTCACCAACCGAATCGAAATATATCGAAGAAGTCATTTCATTAGGATTTGTAAAATTGAATTCTCCGACAAAGTTGCAGTTGGTGTAATATATATTTGTAGTTCCTTTAATAACTGTCAATTTATCTGCGCATGTGTATTGATAATAATATTGGTTTACGTCTGTTGATTGTTGGGATAAAGCGAGAATTGAATAAAACAACGTGATGAGTGTAAAATACATGATAAAGTTTTTTAAAATTAAATTGTAGATTGGTATTTATATACAAATATTATTTGCTATAATGAATTAAAATCAAATTATATATTATAAACAACTATTGAACAACATAAATCCATTCATTTATGAATGACAAATTCGTCAATTATAAATAGATAAATTTTAAAACCAAAATCCTATTGTTAAAACTAAACATTTCAAAAAATAAAAAATAAAATATTATCAAATAAAAACGTTCATTAAATAAAAGCCGATAATATTATTTAAAATCAAACTTTATACTATTTAATTATAATTTTAATGTATCAAATTCAGATATAAAAAAGCACAATTTATTTAAAAACAACGCATGTAAAAATAAAAATCAATTTACTTTTCTAAAAGGATATTTGTGTTGGGAAAGCATTTTCTTTGATTATTTTGACTGTTTTTAACACTTTAACATTGATCAATTTTTCGCACTTCAAAAAACAGTATCTTCCTATTGACTCCAATCTTGATGGCAAAATAATATCTTCCAGTTTTTCACACCCATAAAAACAGTCATCTTCCAACGAAGTCACTGTTTCTGGTATATCTATTTTTACGAGTGATTTACAACAAGCAAAACACCAAAAAAAGAGTAGCTGTAGTAGAAAATGTGAAACGGTAATAAAATACATTTTTGGGACAAACCCCTTAATCGACAATAACATTATTTAAATAACAAAAATTCTAATAACACAATTCTAATAACATTTTATTAATAACATTATTCATAAAAAAATACAACAATTTGTTTAAATTTTAAGAGAGATGCCTTTCTCTCGCCGATCATCACTTATTATCCCAAGCTGCAGCTTATTTTGATGGTTTTTACTGGGGTTTTAAACCCAGTAATAGACATTTCTCATAGTAATACTACTTGAGAGGTTTTGTTTCGCTAAGGTTGTTGCTTTCTATTATGTTAATGGATACAAACGAATTGATAAAACAGATATGAATGAAACAAACAGTATGCAATAAATTGTTTTTTTCGATTTTTTTTAAATAATTAAATTTTTTAATTAATCATTTATTAACCCTGAATATATAATAAAGCTATTACAGTAGGGGGAGTGAGGGGCTTGACGATACTGAGGGGCTTGACCTATACTTTTAATGGTTTATTTACTTTATTTAAATAAAAACTATTTTTAACGTTCTATTTAAAAACACAACCTTGACTTATAAGTTATAGTTTATAAACAATAAAAGTATTGGTTCATCCTTAGCATAAAGTCAGAACTTGAAATTGTATAAAAAGGACTTGGGTGTTTGTTAGTTGTTTCTCAATTAAGTCATCAGTAGGCGTCAGTCTTCTTGTTTGATATGGCTCTTGTTGTTGGTTCAGCTCTTGGATATTCCAAGGTAAACTTTCCTCTTCGGATTTGACCAAATATGTTGGTCTAGGCGGAAGAACAAAAAATTCCAAGTGTTCTCTGGTATAAACACTGTTGTCTTCTTGGAACAACCTGGAAGCCTCTTCGATAAAATGAACATTTTCTTGATCTTTCCAATATTGACTCCAACAACACCAGAACGGTTATATAATGCAATAATGATGTTTTTGCTTTGCTCTCTAATGCTCCCAACACTTTATTGGTATGACGAGCAATGGAAACACAAATATACTCTCTCTGCTCTCCTTATTCTCTTAGAACTTGTCGTGATCTGCCATCACTATCACTATGTTCTCTCATCCAAAAATCAATTCAATTTGAACCTCGCCGTCTTCAGTTACTGAAAATTTGGCGTCAATTGATCTTTAATTGTCAGAGTATTCAGTAAGTTGGTGTTTTAACAACTCCAAATACACAAGCCAAATGGTGAGACGAGTTGGCTTGTGTGAGGAACAACTTGTCTATTATTGCCAAAGGAAATCCTTTGTAGAAAGAAGTTGTATTTGTGCTGTCGTAGAAACATAAATAATTAAAACTTTGTGAATTAATTCTTGGTTATTTCAAACAATGAAAATAAACCATTCAATTTTCTTCATAACATTGAAGGTAGTTAACCTTTTCTTTTCAAAAAAACGTTTAATTTTATTTTGGATAAGCTAAGAATCTTTTTCTTTGACATTTTTTATAAATTATTTATAGTTTTTGTTATTTTATAAATAGAACCGGGAAAACTCTGTATAGTAAAAAAGATAATAAAACAATAGGTCAAGCCCCTCAGTTTCGTCAAGCCCCTCACTCCCCCTACTGTAAAAACTATTAAAATTATAAATAATTATTTTTTAAAAAATAACATTTTAAAACAAAGGAATAACAATTTAATAGTTGGGAATTTTAAAAATGAACAAATCGGTATTAAACATGGGAATATTATAATAGTGTCATATCAGATAACGTAAACATGTAAAGTGGTTTATTTTCATCATAGGTTGTCAAAATATATTCATAAAATAACAATAATTCACCACCTTAATATTTGTTACGAGGCGCCTAGATTGTTGAATACCATTTTCATGAAGTCCAAAGTTTAAGATATGATAAAGTAATAGTCTAAAGTCACAATTATAATAATTTACATGTTGATTGTTAATAGGAACTAATTATCCCAAGATTAAAAAATATTTTCTATAAACAAGGTTTTTAACACTAATTATAATAGAAAATGTTCAACATTTCATAATTGTACAAATCTATATTTCCCATAATTTATCGGTGTTTTGGCGCAATGAAATATAGAGAGAAAAAAACAAAAATGTTGAAAAAAAGAAAAATGAAATTAGTTTGAATTGATTGGACAATTTTGTAAAGTTTCAGTTTTTTTCGAAAAATTAAAATGATTGGTCGTTTCCAAATTGTGCACATTTATTACAACTGGAAGAAGTCCTTATCATTAGAAGTTATTACTAAAGGTTCGGATTCATTTCTAAAGTTCCATGTTTATTTTCTTTACTGTATGTGTAATTTGAATATGAACATCATATATAATTATAAATAAATAATATCATTTTATCGACTTTTTAAATAAATAATAACACGAAATAACACATGAAAATTTTAATATAAAAGTAATTAGTTCAAATATTAATATTTTTATTAAACAAGAAATAATTTAATTTAAAAAAATAACATGCTTTTTAAAACAAATAAATAAAAAAATCAGTTCATGATACTTGAATCGGTCTTCCTCAAAAACGTTATTCTTTATTTACAAACACTCTCTGACATTATAAATTTCATTACAATAAATAAGAAATGTCAGGAATCAATCAATACTATGTTTATTAACACATACAATTTATCACTCTCAACTCCCGCAGGCAAAATTTTAAAAATGTTTCCAAGTCTTCAAACTTTGTATTTAACTCGACTCCCTCCCAATGTTGGTCGTCTTAACGTTAAATCGATTTCCCAAATCGATGTGAGTTTTTCTGATAAAAAGATGAAACTGACCGACTTCTTTAAAAAGTCGACTTTTCCTCCAAAAATTCGCAATTTACGAATTTATAGCAAAAGCATTGAATGGAAAACACCAACTTTTAAAAAATTTACAAAACTTGTCGAAATGTCAATTTTCCTGTCACACAATTCAAAAGACAAATTTAATATAGTTGTCGTTCCCTCTCTAAAGAAAATGAATCTTTTTATTCCATTGCAACGCCTTGTAGATATTCAAGACTTCGACTTCAAAAGTTCAAGTCGAGTCCAATTCAATTTAATAGTCTCATATAAGAGTAAGAGCCTTACACCAGATTTCAGTGTTTTTGAACGTTTTAAAGGCTTAGAAAATGTTAAAATATATGTCACGTTTTTGGCACCTGAAACTCTGAATTTAGAATTTATGACTCATTTCGACTTTTTCTGCAATGAAAGAAACAAAGAAAAATTAAAGCGACTTACGGTGTTTTATACTTTGGGAGGGAAGTGTGAGTTAATTAAAAACACCATTGAAAAGTGCTTTTATGACGAACTTTTAGTGTTACACATGAGCGGCACGTATTTTCGAAGAGGTGTGAATGAAGCATTTTTAGCTGACACTTTTCAAAAAGTAAATTTTGATCTTCAAAGTTGTGAATTTTTGAAATCGATTTTTTTTGCTAAATGTGAATTGTGAGAAATTGATTGCACCAAAAAGTGTGACGATAATGAAAATTTATATGGTCAAAGGGTGTGTGAAGTTTGATGAGTGTATGCTTGAAATCGTCAAAATAGTTAATTACAGTGGAACACCCTTACTTATTAACTCCGACAATTTGAGAGTCATTACATTAAATAGAACCCTTCGTTCATTGTTAAAGTTCAGTATCAAAGGGGTTTTGTGTGATGAAGTTATACTCACAGATAAAATGATAAAAACAGATTGTTGGTTCGAAGAGAAACAAGTTTTTAAATATTTAATAGAAAATGGCCAATTTACTGTGTTCAAAGCACTCTGCGCGTGTGTTACTATAACGGACAAAGTTAAAACATTTTATACAAGACAACTGGAAGGAGACCTCAGTATTATACCTTGCACAGAGTTCAATAATGAGGGAGAATATTTTTATAAAACCTAATATTAGGTTATATGATATTAACCAAATTATTTATTAAGGTATTTTGATTAAAGTTGTTAATTGTATGTGTGAATATTTTGTTTTCATAAATTGTGTCGACTCACTTATTATTTATAATTAGGCACCATAGTTTTTATATATTCAATACATAACACGGTTTAATTAATTATTGGGACTTAAAAGTCATTATATTTTGAAAAGTTAATGGTTATGAATAATTATTATTTAAGATCAGAATGCTCTTTTTTAAGTAAATATTTAAACAAAGAATATATTATTAAATGATTTATCAATTTTTTAAAAAATTAAAAATTTTACAACTTAATACATAAATAATAAAAATAGTTGTTTTTTTTCAATTACATTTTTCTAGTTAATACAAACAATTGTTCCTTGTCACCAATTCTTTTTTAGTTAAATAATAAGGAAATTCTTTGAACATTACCTTTTCATTGCATTTTCTGGTTTCATACATTTTAATTCTTTGAGGGCATCTCATTGGTTGAGGATTTTGTGCATCTGGAAAAGGGTAATAACAAATTCTGAGGTCATAAACAGAGTTTCCATTTTTGCAAACGAAGTATACAGATGTACCATAAACTCTTTCCATTATTGATTTTAATTCTTCCAAGAAATATAAAGTGTTTGTTTTTACTTTCAAGTAACTCTCTTGCAACACTTTCCATATATCAACTTTCTTTCTCAAATTTATGGCAGTTCTCAAATAATCAAGTGGGGTTTTATATATGTTACTTGTACAACTTCCATGTTTGTCCCATTGATATCCTACTAATCGGCACGCATCTAGAGACATCCAATATTTTGCAATATCTCTTTCTAATTCTTTATCATCAAGCATCATTCTTTCGACTTCAGTGACAATATAATCGTTTTCACAACAATAATAATCAACCCTTTTTCTAATTTGTGGCCAATACCCATGTAGGAAAAATCCTTCTTCAATTTTATCTGTTCGGTGTGATAACGTGCATATTAATCCAGAACAAACCTCGCCGAGCCAGTATTGAGAAAACAACATATAATGGAACCGTTCGATTTTTTTCCGTTTCGGAAAACACATACGATAATGTGAAATAGCCACTGTAAATGGTCGGACTATGTAACTTGGCAATGGAGAAGTTACTTGAATATTTCTTTCTTCACTTGATTTTCTACTTGGTGTCGAAGTTGTAGAACTTGAAGCATCAGATTCATCTGAAGAAGGGTAATCCACCAAAAGTTTTTTTGCAGCTTGTTGTGAAGTACTTGGTTTTTCTTCTTCTAATTTTCTTTTAATTGATTTTTTGGGTTCAGTTGTTGGTGTTTTGGGTTTCTCGGGTTGACCAAAACAAACAGAAAGTGTTATCATCAATAGATAAATCATTATATTATATTTAGGTATAAACATGTTTTTATTGTATATACATTTGTTTTAAATAAAAGAGGATAATAATTGTTTAGTTTTTTGAAGTTATAATTTAACAATTATAATTTTTAATTTAATTATTAAAATATTTTAAAAAATAATAAAATAGTTGTATTTTTTATATCTGGTAGTTATTCTTTTAACCATTTTGATTCACAAAAATAAAACTATTAATAATTTAAGTTATTTTGACTCAAAGTAAGACTTTTCTGTTGACAATATTATCCAAAATATTATGAATGGTTTGCAATTTCCCCAGATTAAAAAATTGAAGAATCACTTGAAGTAAATAATAACAAAGTAAATGATAACATTAATCAGAATCGAACTGAAACAGTCTGTTTTTTCGTATTAATTGCTATTTACATATATGTACTTCATTTGAGCATATTTTACCTGACAAATATGAAAAACGACATTTATGCACACACTATGTAGACACTAAATGTGGAAGGAACGTGTACGCATTATAAATGACTGAGGGGTGGACTCAATTTGATAAATATTTAGATTATTTTTTTTCTAAAAATAAATGGTGATGGTCAATGTAATTTTGTGTCACATTACATTTTTTATAAAATAATAATGTTGTTTTTTTATTATTAAAAATATTATATTATATTATTTGTGATTATAACTATGAAACAATCAATTGTTATTCATTGCGTGTTTTAGTACTATTTTCAGTGTATTACTTATGTTTAAAAATGAATTTATAATTTACATATTTTAATTTTAAAGTTTTGTATTTGTTTCAATTTTAACAACAAAATATTTTAATAAAAAGTTGTTTTTTTATTTATCTTTTAACATTCAATTTATTTTATGAATTGTATTGTATATTTGGTCGAATTAACACAAATTTTTGATACTTTTAATGATTATTATTATTAACCCTTCAAGGACGAGAAAAATCAAAATTTGTAAAAAATAAAAATCTTAGTCAATTGTAATGTAAATGTGACTTTTTTCTTTAATTTTTTCAAAAAAGCTAGACACCCTGGAACGACCGCTCTAGTATATTTTATGGTAAATTGTTATAAATTATAGTAAAAAAGTGAATTTTTTGAAGTTGGGATGAACAAAGGTTCACTTTTTGCTTGATCCTTTTAGAAACAAGTCACAGTTCAATGGAAAAGTCAGATCAAACATTTATTGAGATGTCTACAACCTATCACAATAATAAAAATAATTATACAATATAACAAAAAGATAATTGCATCGTAAAACATACTATTTCGGAATATCCAAAATCAATTGCATCATAAAATAACAAAAAATATAATAAAGCACGGACTTTGAGGTGTATTGAAATTTTATTATCAATTGATCTCAAAAACAATAACAAGGAAAAATAAATAGATTTTTTAGTAAACTTTGAAAAATACAATAATTTAAAAATTGGGTTTTACTATTTTTTTGTAAAAGAAATAAAATAAGACGTAAAGACACTTTTGTTTGTTCCGACTTTGAAAAATAAATCTTAAAGAAAATAAGTGTAAAATAAACAAAAAATATCTAAAATACATTTTCAAAAGTATCAAAAATCGCAAAATCGAGAAAAAATTATAAAATCAACTTTAACAATAAAACTAGTTGCATTTAAATAAACTTTGATCACCACGAGGTTTTGTGATCATTCGTTGAAATTTCACGTCGTGCAACTGTCGAGGAAGCAAGGTATTAATTCATTGTTTGTAATTTGAATTTTTTATCATTTTCAAACAAAAACAAAAGGCAAAACGTGTTTTATGCAATCTATTTAAAATATAAAGATTTGTATTTGGTAAATAATTGTTTATTTTGCAGCCACTGTTTATTCATTTTCGAATTATGCATTTTTGGGCAACAAACAAAAAACTTATGGTAAATGTATAGAGATAATCAAAAACAAAGAAAAACACAAGTGTAAAGACATCATGATATATACCAAAGTTGACACTTTAAACAATAATTTATAATAAAATAAATCAATATATTATTAATAATTTATCATGTTATTTATAATAGTTTTATAATTATAATTGTTATGTATAATAGTAACAATCAACAAACATAATTTTGACACAATAACACATCAACAACCACATCTTTATCACAACTTGATTTTAACGAAGTGATAAGTGATCACATTGATATAACAATGTTCTGTAATTAAAACAGTATTGTATTTTATGTATAATTATAACAAAAATGGTATAATCACCTTTATTTATAATGTTATAATTATTAAAAATACACAGTGTTTGTAATAAAGCGCGTTTTGACTGAAATACATAGTTTGAATTCAAACAAAACAAATAAGCATTTAATTTATATAAACAGAAACACACTGGTTTAGTGAATGATAAATAAAATGATTATATGTGATATAATTGATGTAGTTGTTATATAGATAAAAATTTAAATTATTTGGGTGTTAGAATTGATTACAAACTATATTTCTAATATTATTTTACCATTAATAATATAAAGTTTAAAATGATAATATAATAATCATTATAGTTTAATTTATTTTTTTAAATGACAATAATGGTAAAATAATGTTATTTAAACACACCAAATAACAAAAATACGATAAAAATTATTGTTTTAAAAGGTATAATTTTAAAGAATATTTTAAATTCACAACACTTTGTTATTCCACGACAATGGATCAATAAGAAACAGGCAAACAAATGTCACTTATAATATTATTAACCGTTATAGTTAAAAATATTAGATTATTTATAATGTATCGTATATTCGATTGATTTTGTAACGAATTGTGTTTTGTGGTTTTAAATAGACGTTTTTGTTAAATTTTTTAAAAATAAATACAGTGTGGTTACCCCGTTTTGTTCAATTGTTTTAATAACGCAAAACATTTATAGTTATTTTTAATTAATGAATACTATTTTAACAAATAAAATGCAAAAAACATTTTTGGTGTTTTTTATTTGTAGATTGCTAAATAATAAAATGGTTAAAATTGATTAAAAGTACTAATTAAATCTTACATAAAACAACGTCACTTGCTACAAAACAAAAAAGTTTGTGATAAAACAAGAAAATACTTGACATAAATTAGAATATACACAATTATTGAGTTGATATTTCAAGATTTGTGATGAATAGATTTATAGTTCAAAGTTGCACTGTTTTAAAACTGAAAATGTGCAAAACCAATTTATAATCAAAAATTATCATTTTTAATTCTTATATCCCAAAAAACAATTGAAGATCTAATAAATATCTTAAATCAACAATAAATAATCATGTGAAATAACACATTAATTTCTTGTTTTGTTCAGAATCTAAATTCAAAAAATAAATAATTACTTATTACTATAAATAACTTTGCCGCTTTGCATCTAATTTGACAAAAAAATGCAAAAAACTGCCTCATCATCAGAACTCAAAAAATCACATTAACTATCAAATGGTGAAGTTATCACCATTGGAAAAGAGAGATTTAGATGCCCAAAAGCACTCTTTCAGCCATCATTCCTTGTTTTGGAAGCATTAGGTATCCACGAGACAATTTACAAGTCAATCATGAAGTGTGATGTCGATATCAGAGAGGAGTTGTACTGAAACATCGTCTTTTCAGGTTGAACATCAATGTACTCAGGAATAAACGAAAGATTTGAGAAGGAGGCGATTGCAAATGAGAAAAGGATAAGTATAATCAAGGCTGTTTATTCTTGGCTCAATTTAATTATATTTGTTTAGGTGTTTATTTGGTTTAGTTTACTTTTAATCATTATTGTTATAATCAATCATACAATTGTAATAATTCTACTATCAATCATATTATTCAAAAGTTGATTTTTATTGTTTATTTATAATTAATATTTCTATACTATTTATTATATTTTTGTCACGCATTGTATAATGTAACCAAACCCGCTATTTTTTCGACTTAAATTGATGTTTTATAGCGTTGTTTTACCATATAAGATAATTATTTTATTGTTATTGTTGTGTTAGTTGAATAACAACCAAAATTAATAGTAAGTAGTGGGTTTTTATTGTAATATTTTGTTGTTATTTGGTTCTCTAAGTATTTTAAGTTTGAGTGGAATCCAATTTTTTATTTTAAAAACAATCCATTTTTGTTATGTTCTTATTTTATTTTTGTTTGATTTTATCTTATTGGTTATATAAAACCCAAATTGTTGCATTTGTTTTAAGTGTTTTTTATTTTATTTTTCGAAAAACTTGAATATCTGATAGTATTCTTTAATCAATTTTAGTTAACATTTTTATTTGTTTATAAAAACAGTTTATTTTCGTATTATTTTTATTACTAATATTAATTTGTTAAATTATATATTTTATTGATTGAAGGACTAATCTTTAACAAAAACCAATTAATTTAAGTTTATGAATGATGAAATGTTTTATAAATAATTCAATAGTTTGAATTTAAGTTGAACTATTTGATCAAAAAAGTCAAAAATCATTCTAAACTGTTCAAGAAAAGTCGCACTTATTTTCATTTTTTTGGAAAAGTGAAATTTTTTGAAATTTTTTTCTGAAAAAAAGAAAAAATAATATTATTTAAGTCCTCGAATGGTTAAAAGTTCGGCAAAATAGTTTGTTGTGTTTTAATGAAAAAGTTTCCCTGAAAAAATTACATTAAACTTTTTTTTGTTAATAGTAAAAACAATAAACAAATTATAAAAATATCGTATAAAGTATTTCAATTTTTTTGATTAATAAAAACATTTATTTATTTTTTTGTTAACAAAATTAAAAACATAAAAGTTTAATTGTTTTTTTAAACAACAACATTTTCATTAAAGTAAAGGGAAAAAGCCACACTTGGAGAAAAACCTGCACTTCTTTATTTTTTGTTCTTTTACAGGCTAGCATTCGAAAAAAAGGTTCAGTCTTAGTTTTTTTTATTATTTAAGAATCTTCTTTTTTTAATAATATATTTTAATATATAAAATGAACATTCAACAACATATTATAATTACTCAAACATTAAAAAA